GGCGGCGTGCCTCTTGGTACTTAGCTGACGGAGGCTCCCGTGTTTGGTAAGAGGCTTTGGTACCAGGGTGTTGTAGGTAAGGCAGGTAAGCGGCCTCTTATTATTTATTTATTATTTATTATTTATTATAATTATTTATTATTTTTATTATTTATTGTTATTGTTATTGTAAGCGGCCGGGAAAGTGTGTGAAGGCAGGGATACGTGCACACGCGTGTAGGCACACGTACGCGAATGTGGATCCTGGTACACATACATGTACGTACGTGTGAGTACAAATACACACATGCAGGTACAGACACACGCACATACATAAAAACACATACGTACGCAGATCGTGCAAGCACACACACACATACACACACATACATACACACACACACACACACACACACACACACACACACACACACACACACACACACACACACACACACACACACACACACACACACACACTTTCAGGCAGGCACCCACACACCCAAACACTCACACACTCACATACACACACCACACACACCCACACCCACACATTCACAGGCATAGACAGACACAAAACCTAAACGAACAAACAAACATACAAACACACACTCTCACGCACACAGAGGCAGGTCAGGAACCTCCAGCCCTATTGATTCACGCCCCCCCCCTCCTCCTCCCCCTCTCCCCTCCCCCCAATCTCTCTCTCTCTCCCCCCCCCCTCTCTCTCTCTCTCTCTCTCTCTCTCTCTCCTCTCTCTCTCTCTCTCTCTCTCTCTCTCTCTCTCTCTCTCTCCTCCTCTCCTCCTCCTCCTCCTCCTCCTCCTCCTCCTCCTCCTCTCTATCCTCCATTCCCTCTTTTTTCCCCACTTCCCCTCTTTTTTTTCCTATCTCCCTCTCTCCTTCCTCTCCCTCGGCGTGTTTCTCTGTGTCCACCTGCTTCTGTTTTCCTTCGTTCGCTTCCTCGTCTCCCGGAATCCACAGACATTGGCTTCTCTGCGATCGGGTGAGAGGCACTGGGGTGGGGGGAGGGAGGGGGTGTGCCTAATGGGGATAGGGATACACACTCACATATATATATCTATATATATGCATATATATATATATGTGTGTGTGTGTGTGTGTGTGTGTGTGTGTGTGTGTGTGTGTGTGTGTGTGTGTGTGTGTGCGTGCGTCGTGCGTGCGTGCGCGCGCGCGTGTGTGTGTGTGTGTGTGTGTGTGTGTGTGTGTGTGTGTGTGTGTGTGCGCGTGTGTGCGTGCTTGTGCAGTGCGTGTGCTTGTGCTTGTGCTTGTGCTTGTGCTTGTGCGTGTGCGTGTGCTTGCGTGTGCTGTTGCGCGCGCGCGTGTGTGTGTGTGTATGTATGTATTATGTATGTATGATGTATGTATGTACACACACACACACACACACACACACACACACACACACACACACACACACACACACACACACACACACACACACACACACATTATGCATATATACCTATATCCACAAACACGCACACACACCCAAAAAAAATACAATGCTCTCTCTCTCCAATCATTACACATACTGTGAGCCACGGACACCCTCGGACACGCTGTCTTTGACTCATAACGAAGCCACGATACACATGCATGTATGAGTGAGGCATCATTTACTAACGCATAAAGAGGGTGAACAAGCCTAGTTAGGGATGGGTGAGGTTAATGGTTGTTTGTCGTAATGAGAGTTGCCGGGAGGAGGAGTTGGGGTGGAGGGAGGGAGGGAGGGAGGGAGGGGGGGTGGGAGGGAGGGAGGGAGGGACGGACGGACGGAGGAAGGGAGGGAGGGAGGGAGGGAGGAGAAGAAGTTGGGGTGGGGAGAGGGGGTGGAGAGGGGGGGGGGAGGGAGGGAGGGGGGAGGGGAAGGTGAGGGAGAAGGAAAATAATGGAAGATAAAGATGTAGAGATTGATAAGTGGAAATGAAAGTGAAAGGGGGAGAATGATGATAAAGAGGATGATAGTGATAATGATGATAGTAATAAAATGATAAAGACAATGAAGAAAATAAAGATGATAATGATGATAGTAATAAATATGATAATGATAATAAAGAGAAAAATAATGGCAATGATGATAGTAATAAAAATGATAATGATAATAGTCATAGTAATAATAATGATAATATGGTAATTATAATATAAAGAAAAATATAACAATGATAATTAGAAGAATGAAAGAAAAAAGAAAAAAAATGAAGGGGAAGTAGAAGAAAAGAAAAATATGTTAAGAAAAGAGGACAAAGATATAAAAAAAGAAGAAGAGGGGAGAAATAGACACGTAAAAATAATTTTCTCAATTGAGGGGAAACTAAAATAATATGCTTTTGCTTATTAAATTTAGCTTTAATTATTTTAGGGTAATTTTTACGTAATGAACTCATGTTGTCGATAGATATGTAAAGTCTATTGTAAACGTTCTGCTGTTAAGTACGATCTATTATCATATGTAATTTGACGTTTTATTTATTCATCATTATTATTATTATCATTATTAT